ATATGTTGGTATACTGTTACATATATATATCTCTGTAAGTCACATCTGAATTGTAACCACCTTTTTTGCAATAAAGATGATTTTGAAAAGGAAAAAGAAAAAAATACAGAAAGGCAGGTCATTCAGTCTGTCTCAGTAACCCCAAATTTAGTGGTTCCCAACCTTCTTCCTTAAAGGACCCCTTTTCTGTGATTGAGTAAACTGACCCCCTGACTAAGTGACATTTTATATTATAATTGTATATTCAATGCATAACAATAATAACAGTAGAGAACAACTGATAAACTGTGCAATGAACCCAAATAGTGAACAGCAGGAAGCAGTTTGTATGAATTTTGAGCAGATTATTTCCTGTGAATATTGATCAGAGATGAGTTATCCTTATATTTTAGGAACTTTTTGTTAAATGTTCTGTCTTTATTTATTTATTTTAACAATCATGCGTACTCAATTGGCTTCTTTTTTGACAGATTCAGTGTTTCTCTGTTACAGCTTGTGTTCTAGTCTTCAAAGTTTAGATCTAAAATGAAAATCTAAACCTTAAAAATAACTATTTAAATTTTTTGTCACAATAATTAATAAAATGCTGAGATGTAGGCCTACTGTATATATATGTTTCAAGTTTTAAGCTTACACCACTCAAAATCAAGAAAGCCTTGTGACCTAGTGGGGATCCCAACCCTCAGGTTGGTAACCATTGCCCTAAAATGACAGGTATAATCAGTGTTGTATTGCAGGTATACAGAGCATTGGGTATATCCACCTCTACATCCACTCTGATGTGCGTCAGTTAGTAGTGTTTTGCCGAAGTACATACTAACCTAAGATTTAAAGCAAATTTCATGTCTCTGCAAGTTGATTTCCATACTCCACACATAAAAACAGAAAGCAAATCAGATCAGGATTCAATTCCCTAAATAATCAAATATTTGTAAATGCTAAACATTAATATAGCTTGGCTGCTGTCAGATGTGGCTCTCATGAACTGTTTTGGTCTCTTAAAAAAACACCAAGTTAAGATTAAATGGTTACATAAGTAGCTTCCCTTCACTTAGCAGAACCACAAATAAAACAGGATTAGATTACTTCTAAAAAAAGACACCTGAAACCAAAGATTCACAACAGAAATCCAGTTTTTATATTAATCATTATTAATATTTCAGTCTTGTTCAAACTTGACCACTGTAATGTGTTTCTGAGCTGTTTGTGCAGAAAATCCTGGACAGATTGGAGGACATGTCAGTAAATTAATAACACTGGTAATTTTACATTTACACTGCTTAGTGTCCTTTTAACTCTTTGTTATTAAAAAACAATTACAAATGGCTTGTATCATAGCGACGTTGCAGATGTTACACCCCTTTTTTCTAACTTAAACACTATCTGTTGTTTACAAATTCAATTAGGAGTAAGACACATTTCAGTGTTTCTTAAAGGTTCAAGCACTGTGAAAGTCATAAAACATATTGTAGTTGTATACAAGAATACTTAAACTGTAGATTTGCCATCTGGATTCAATGAGCTTTCAATGTCAGCATATTTAAATTAAAGTGCTAAACAGGCAAACTAGCCGAGCATGCCCAAATACCTTTGGTCCAGTAGAAATTAGAAACAAAGAATACTTTCACAGTTTACAAAAAATAATAATTACGTTTTTGACTGGAATAACACTTAACCACAATGCGGGAACTGAAGAAGACAAGGTAGTTCAACAGAAAGCAAATAAGTCCTGGAATGCAATGAACATAACAGACTGGATAGTGAATGTATGACCAGTAAACAGAGTAGCTTACGCCATGGTCCCATTATAAAATATATACTCCTTCTGTATCACTGTACCTATATCAGTATATCTCTGTATGTGTGTTTCTGATCTGGATATTGTACAATACATAATATATACTGTTTTAGTATTGCACTTACAAGTTTAGAAACATGTTAATCAATTAAAATGGTCAAAATTAATGCAGAAGAAACTGACTTTTACTCCCCAGTATGAGTCAAGCTTGAAATTGCTAGATCCTACACAAATAATAGTCTCTAAAGCCAAGCGGAGATAACCCTGATGACATCACCTGGGTTTATTTCTCAGGCTTCAGAGAGCTCCCTCCAGAGTCCCAGAGTGCTTATACAGTATTTTCACAAGCTGAGCAGTTCTCCCCATGACATGTAAACTGGTTTCCTTTGTAAAACTGGTTAGATGCCTTAAAGCAAGTGATAAATATTGCTGTTCTCTGTCAAGAGAGCAACTGATTTCTTCTGGATGTAGAGGAGGAACAATATTCAGGTGTCAATTAAGGGCTCCTGCAAATAAAGCAAAGCAGCAAGGTTAGGTTAAAACAGTATCTGCACATTTCACAACATATATGCAGAAGATATTAAAAATGTTAATGAAAGTGAACACAAACAGTAACACTACATCAGCTGTATAACTGCATGTTACTGTAGTATTTCTACAATTAGCGTACTTGTACCTAAAACTTGCAAAATCTGCATAATCCTCTAGTTTACATATATCAAACTTACTAAATGTTTCCATAGTCAAAGATACAAAAACATAATAATTACTTACATTTTGTAGATCCAGTCCATTCCAGTGCTGTCGACGTATAAGCGAATGTGTCAGACTAGCAGCTAAACAGAGTATCAGACAAACGGCTAGCAGACACACACTGACTTCTAACAGATGTCGCTCTGCCACACTCTGCTCCTCCTAAAGAATGAGAGTAGAGAATGACTGACAAGGCAAGATTTTATCTGACTTTATCACATCTGAGCAAATTCTATTGTGCATGTGGGACACGTGCTGTACCCTTGTTAACATGATAGTGAGTGTTGGGTCATTCTTGGAGTGTAGACTGTAGCAGGTTTGTAATGCTGTAGGCGGCTGGTTGCTCGCTTCCACGTGGATGGGTGAGATGTTTTTCTCAGATGCAGGGCACTCTGGTGGAAGTCTTCATTAAAGTATACAACACATACAGAAAAACACACAATATTACTTATTTGTGAGTTTACAGACATTATTTTTAATGTACCAAAGTAGGTGGTGATTTACATTAAGGAAACACAAACTTGAGAGTGTGAATGAACTTACAGCCTCATAGGCAGGAGGTGGGTTGGGGCACTTATGGTGAGGCAGGTGTAGGTATCATTTCCAGACAAAACCTCTAGAGTCACATTAACAGTCTGATTGCCTGCAAAGTAAAACAATCAATTATTGGTGAGACTTTATGGTTATATACACTTTAATTCACAACAAAGCCAATCCGGTGCATAACAAACCTCCAAGATGTAGCTGCCTGGCTCTGAAGACAGCGTGTAGTCCAAGATCCTTTAGAGAGCCACTGTTTGAGTTGGTAGTCACAACTACAGGAACCTTAAGATGCAAACGGCTGACAGAAGGAGTCTCTGTAGAGTTAAGTGGAGTGTCTGTATCCATCAGAGGAGAGGGGACTGACGAGACAAACTCAGATGAAGTTGCATTGGCTTTGGCACACAGCTGGAACTGTGACAATGAGGACAGGAGATGGTTCCAATCCTAAGAGGAGAATAAAGTGTATGATTGATTGATCAATATCTGCTCAGGAGACAAAAGAATACAAGCACACATGCAGTCACAGCTTACACAACATTGCGTTTTCCTTTGTGCATCAGATCTCGATCTCGTTAACAGATTGTGAAAGGATTTAATGGTAGAATATCAGCTCACCTGAGGCCTGGCTAATCTACTAAACACACGTAGGACCATAGTTATCAGGATACATCAATTATAATTCAATACCGGGAAATGTATATTATTATAAATTATCCCAATAATTAAAATTACAGCCAATAAATTATTGGTCAGTTAAACTTGGTTTGGTTTAAGGTAGAGGTGTAAGAAAATATAGAAAAATATTGTGTTCCGATATTTTATTTTGTGATATTGTCAATTTTTGTGGTTAGGCCTAAACAACTAGCAGCGTTGTAAATGTAAAGGGCTACAATACAAATGCAGATCTCACTGTTCTGGTTGATTTTACGCATATGGTGTTGTGATTTTTAAACTAGAACAGTTCTCCTAAAATTAGATTCAAACATTTTTTTCCGCAATATATCGCAATATATCACAATATATTGATTTGTAACCATGCGTATCGTGATATGTATTGTATCACCAGATTCTTGCCAATACAGTGCCCGAGTCAGAAACATCATCCATCTTTGCTCACCACATCTTAGCATGTATTACCATCATGTGTGTAAAAACTAAAGGTTATAAACTTTAAAATATCTTTAAAATACAAAAATGCGAAATGATCTATCAGCTTATTGTTATCGTCCATAAGAAGCAGGCAGTCGGTTATTGTATCCGCATGAAGACAACAGCTGTCTAAGCGTTTCTGAAGTTTCCATATTTGTGATCAAACCTGTTTCAAACTAGACACATTTTAGTGAGTCCTTACCTTTACTGTGTCAGGGTTAGGCAGAGTGTGAGTGTAGCTGTAAGAGCTGAGGCCGATGAACGAGACAGCCAGAATCAGCAGACACAGGAAAAATGTCACCGCTGGAGGATTCTGGGATACATAATCTTTAAGGTTGGTCACTGGCTGCCACAAACCCATCATCAGACTCCACATACAGCTAGGATGTGACAGGCTGTAAAGAAAAAGACAGTCACCTCAGTTACTTAAGGTTGTCCACAGTACCTTTATATATATGTGTGTGTGTTTATTCAATTTTCAACAGGTAAAACAAGAGCAAACATAATAAAAACAAACAAACAAACATTTGGCTCACACACATATTCAGGTCCAAATTCGTACAGGCAAAAGATTCAGGAGTCACATCCTATACAAGTAAAAATCAATTTGAAATAAATAAATAAAATGAAATAAAATGAAATAAATTGAGGGTGTATTGTTATGTATATGATATTTACATAATTAAAGAAAGGTATGCCGCTCCACAGCAGCTTTGGTAGTGCTAGTTTAATTAAGATACTGATCATTTAGTAATTCAGAAGGACTGCACAATCAAAGGACTTCTTTGGGTGAATGAAGCTGATGTTTTCAGCATAATGACATTCAAAAGTAGATAAAAGAATTTTATCTACTTTTGAGATTTTAGCTTTATTTGGCACATGTCTTCCGACCTTGTAGGTAAACATAACAAGGCACAAATTGTAAACTTTAACTGCTGACAATCGTGGAAAACTGCCTTAAACTAATGCCCTTATTTGTGAAAAATAACTCATGTTTGCAGACACATTAAGTCTATTGATCCGGACTACAGAGCAACAGGAGACTTTGTGACATTGTGTAACTTGTCCACCACATCAGCTGATAACTCACAACGACGTTACTGCCAATGTGATGTTATTAACTACCGAACTGCTGGCTGAAAGATAACTTCATACCTTGTATCTGAGCAGTCCTCTCTGAGCACCTCGTTAGCTTTGCTAAAATCCAGAGACACGTGAGTTTCTTCGACATTTAAGATGTTTAAAGTTCAGTCAAAGCGACACAAAGATAACAACACGACAGTTTCCGTCAGTTTACGGCAGTTCACTGCTGTGACGACGACTATGACGTGGGTCAGGTGACTTAGACTATTTTTATTATTTTATCAGTTTTATAGATATTTTTCAAATATTAACATTCAGCCATATTATAATTTTTGGAAATGATGTTTCTTGTGTTTATATAATACATATAACAACATCTTCTCAGGTTATAAAGTGGCATTAGTTTATTTAGCTAAAAGTTATTACATGTTTTTTTTTTTTTTAACAGAACCACATTATATAATTTAAATAGAGCCTGAATGTAACCTAATATAGCACACTGAGCACTATGTGTTTCCAGTGAATTATAGGCCCACTTTTTTAAATTATTGTTGTGGTTGAAGTTAATAAAATTAACAAGACAATGACTTAACCTGAATTTAATGATAATTAATTAGGCATGTTACTATCTGCATTTCATTATTAATTATACATATTAAACATTATACTCACGAGGGCCCTTTTGGTTAGATATCTATGAACAACTTCAGTTTCTAATTTCTACTGGACCAAAGGTATTTGGGCATGCTCAGCTAGTTTGACTTTAATTTAAATATGCTGACATTGAAAGCTCATTGAATCCAGACGTCAGATCTGCAGTTGAAGTATTCTTGTATACAACTGCAACTTCCAAGTTCTTTAAAAAGCCACTACACATTCTTGGAACTTGCCTGACCCCCATTTTTATTTTTACGTAAGCTTACATGTCCATCTCTTGCATTAATGTAATCAACCACTTAGTCACTTTAACTTTTTACCGTAACGTAAAGTTTTTGTGCGTTGCTATATTAAGTACAGTTGTGTATAGTGTTTTGCCATATGCTAGTTCTAAAGATGAATTTCCATTTTATGCACTTCATGGACAATAAGTTCATCTGAATATGAATACTGACCACATACTAAAACCAGGCAGTGATACAAAATTATATATATATTTTTTTTATAACAATCAGGGCGCTTTTAATTTAGAAAATATTCAACATTCAACACAACTCATGATCAACATATTTGTCTTAACCGTGACAGAAACTTTGCATCTGTATCAATAATTGTACTTGGTGATTTCTATAAAGAAAGGTGTAGTCCAACAACTCCAATAACTAATGACATTTCCAATGACATTTTCACACATTTAACATAAGAACGATAAACAAAACATGAAAATGAAAATAAAACATAATCTAATGTAGAAGCTCCCAATTTACAACAGCAGAGTTGTTGTTCTTGGTTATCCTGTCTCACATTCAAAGCTCTCTTTGTTTTCTGTGCTTTAATTATGCATATAATGCAACACTGCAGGCCCTAATACCTCCAGAATATTATTGCCACTCTCCTGAGAATCAATAACATGACTATTGTGTTCATTAAGACATGTCACACTGAATTAAAGTACCATTTCCCTTTGTCAAAACATCACACAGCACAGTTGGCAGTATTCCCATTTATAATGCCACTTGCATACAGTATGACAGCAATTAAGGAGTCCAAGTGACTTTTATAGGCTTGAATGTCCAAGTGTCAGGGTGACCCATGTGCAGCAGGTCTTTGTAGGGGGAAGTGCTCCACTGGAAGGGTGGCACCTGGTCCCATGTTGGCCCGTTCACGGCTATCATACCGTAGTCACGAAACATCCCGTACGAGGTCAACTGCACATGAACACACAAAATGCATGACAGTTAGCCAGAGGTGGCAAAAGGACACGCATTCTTTATTTAAGTAGACATACAGATAAAGATAAAGATAAAAAAAGTATCCAGTAAAACTAGTTAAACCAAGTCAACTTTTACTCAAGTGAAAGTGACAAAGCACAGGCTCTGAAATGTAAGTATAAAGTATAAAAGTAAACTGAAAAGTAACTGAAACTTCAAACTCTTTTCCATTTCATCTTGTCATGTATGATATGCACCAGTCTTAATGTTGGGAAGGCTTGTAATGATGCAAAATAAAAAAAATAATCGATAATTACCCTCAAATGCATTAAAACTAAAGTAACAAGCCTGTTTTGAAAATGTAAGGAGCAGAAAATGCAGATATTTGTGTAAAAATGTAGGAAGGAAAAGTAAAAAGTTGTCAGAAAAATAATACCTTAAAAAAAGTACAGTAACAAAGTATTTGTACTTAGTTGCTTCACACCTCTAGATTGATCATTTATGTTTCACAGCCACACAGAAAACTGAAAAATAAAAACCTTCATGTCTGTTCCTCCATGTGGTCTCTGCCTTAAGGCGCCAAACGGATATGTTCCATTAGCTGGGTTCAGGTCTGAACGGGCAGAGATGGCGTTCTCTCCATTTGCAGGTGGATCACAGCCTTCGCACTTTGACAACGGGTCTTCTTTAAAGTTATTATACCTGAAGAGAGACACCGCAGCTCATGAATACAATTACATTTAATGTAGCCTATGAAAATATAACAGATAACATTAAAGTTTGTTTGTCTTATGCCGATCAATCCAGCACACGACAGAAACCACCAAACTTGTGCAAGACCTCACCTCATGAGGCGGACCATTGAGTCCACATCTTTAACAGCTGTCTGGTTTCTCCTGAATATTTGAGCTCGAGGATTCTGGTCCAGAGAGAACCACGGGCCGAACTTCTCAACCAGCTCATTGCAGCCACTGGCATTGAATATCTCCACGTAGTACCTACATGTGAGCACATATGAACAAAATAAAGTTTTACATAAAACAAATAAGACCACATGTAACTTAAAACTGATTCCAAACCGGGTACTTACGGTATGTTGTAACTTGCCCAGTAGCCTTTCTCCAGCAGTTCCTGAGTTTTATCAGTGTAAACAACGAGTCCCCTGCAGCATTCAAAGACACGAAAAAGGTTAGATTAAATCAGGGGTCAGCTGCTCTTAATATCAAAAGACTAAAGATGTGGCTCCAGTGCCGCAGATTGCCTACCCCTGGTTTAAATCATGTGTTTTGATTTAAGAGTGGGTGCAAACACTTACGGAATCTGCTCCAGAACAACAAAGAGCTCCTCTTTAATGTCAGTCTTTCCCGGAGTGAAGTGGTTATAGTTCACAATCATCCACTGGTTATTGTACCTACAAAGCACACAAATACACACACAGTCCGAACTGAGCATTCAACCTTTATTCTACTGGCATTCACAGATTTTTAATGTATTTTATTACTGTGTATCCATGTGACAGATGCTGAAGTAACTGATTCAGCATTGCACAACAAACACTCTGATGACCCCATTAGAGCTGTATGCCTTCTCATGTGACTCTTGATTATACGGTAAATGGCCCTTTTCTTCTCCCTTTACTCCAAACAATTCACATGACAGTCAAAGCTCACACAAAATCTTATCTAATCTTGACATCAATGGGACATTTGCACACAAAACAAAAAGCAGAAGACAACAGAGCACTCAGAAGAGTACGTTGGGACAAAGTGGTGATAATGTTGGTTAATGAGAGCCAGGTTCTTCCTGGAGTGTAAAACTCACGTTCCACTGTTGTACTTGCTGAATATGTCAGCCCACTCTTTGCCAGTAGCAGCCAGTCGATTAGCCACGATGTTCCTCAGCCATTCCATGACGGTTCCTGTGGGCTGAACGAACTTCCACAGAGCAGGGTTACTGTTGCCAATGGTGGTTTCCAAGGTAACCTGGAGACACAAGATAGTAAGTAAGAAGAAAGTGCTCCATCTAGCATTACTCAATTAAAATACTACAGAGTACTACCAGTCCCTACAGGATTTCCCAGGTTTTTTGGGGATTGTTGCAGCCTAAAATGCTTCGTTTCACAGCAGCTTTACAAAAAAATTGCAACCCATATTGCAATTATTATTATTTTTTGTATAATTCATTAATCAAAGTCAACTTGATCCAGTGAGAATAAAATGTCAGTGTTTGGACAGGGTAAACGAAAGACATCCTTGTTGTACATGTCTGCATCTTCACAAACAAAGAAGTGACTTTGGTGACCCATGGCTCAACATTTTGACAAAATTGCAATGTCATGCAAGATTCACAGGGATTAATTGTGTTTGTGTTATTAGTTTCAAACACAACTTCCTGGAGGGACTGCAAAACGCCCAATTCCATCTTGCTCAGTACAAAGAGTTCTCACCAGGCCGCTACTCAGGATATAAAAGTCATCTCCAGAGAAGATCGCTCCAGGATACGATGAGAATGCCTGAGTTCCTCCAGGAAGAAGATCACTTCCTGAAAAAGAACAGCACATAATAATCTGTATTCTAATCTAATGTAATATGTAAATTATGTTTTTGAAAAAGGGGCTTTTGGTTTATGGCCGCATGGTTTAAAAGAATACTTTGACATTTTGGGAAATATGTGTTTATCAAGACTGGAAACAGAGGTAAAAGATTTTATTGATTCATATTCTCATCTAACTCAACTCTAACAAAAAAGCAAATAAGGATAGTTCCTAAAATGTGGAACTATTCCTTTAATGTAAATAATGAGGTACTTAAGAAGAAGAACAGTGATTAACAGGACACACAGTTGCATCAGTAAACTACCTAAAGGAGAAGCTCTAAAGGCAAAGATGTATTTCTTCATAATGCGCAGCATGGCCTGGTAGACGTTCCAGGTGTCATGTGAAACCAGCAGTTCCTTGTTGTTTGGCAGCAGCTTAATGAGAGCAGAACAGGAGCCGGATCCAAGAGGTCGAGTTTGGCTGGATTTGTTCAGAGCCGATTCCAAGTCCTCCAGATCCCCGCCCAGCTGGAAAAGTCTGGTTGGACAGAGTAGCAGTGGAGAATGTAAAACAACAGTAAGAAACACATTTATTGATCTCAGGAACAGTAAAGAAACATCAATAGGAAATGGAGATAAGCACTTACAGGAAGCCAAATGGGTTGAAGGAGAACGGCCCTACTGGAAATGACAGCTCGTCGTTGTAGCTGTCCTCCAGACCTTTCAGCTGCAGCAGTGCCAGACGCACCTGACAACCAGAAACAAGCCTTTTAACATTTTTGTTTCCATGCAAGGGATTTCATTCACCCTACAAATGCTCATTAAGTACCTGGTACCAGTAGGGTGAACTTGGCTGCTTCTCTATTTGCTCCTGAATCCACTGCATGTTGGTTGTGATGAAAGCCTTAAGACGCTCGCAGTAAACAGACTGAGACGTGAAGGGCCCGCAGTAACCCATTAGAGTGTTCATCCAGTGCTTATAGATGAGCTGAAACATACACAAATGTTTAGATTAAATTAAATGTAAAGTAAGCCAATAGAAACATTTAGACTGTTGGGTTAAGTCGAGCTCAGTCAGGCCTGCAGAATGAAGCTGACCTGAGATGTGAGTGCAGCCTCCACTGCACCAGCAGCATAAGCCTGGATACTGTCATTGTACTGACTGCTGGTAGTGACCTCCAAGAAAGACCAGCTGAGGGAGAGAGAGAGCAAATGAGGAATAAATGAAAAAACATATCTGTGTACAGCTTTACAATATTTTTATTTAGGTGGTGTGAAGGACAGAAGGTTGGTTAACTCATAACTTTGAAGGAGTTCCCAGGAGACCTTCATGGTTTACACAGAATTATCTATTGTAGCTCGATGAAGGAGGAAAGGTGAATAGATCACTGGGCATTGCCAATCAAATGTGAAGGTTGCTTCCTGACTGGAGATATAATTCATACTTAAAAACCACAAGATTGTGTGCGGATTCTATTAGATATTGGTTTAAAACAAGAAACTATGGTTAACCTAAATCACATTGGATATAGGATACAACACATTATGTCTGTTATATAAACCTTTGTTTCTTAGCAGTCGAATATAGTAATGTAATCTAATCAGCCAAGCTTAACTTATCGCTTTGAAAGAGTCACAGGCTAATGCGAATGACCAGAGTTACACAGGGGACACTTTACCATTTTACCTTTAATGTAAAGGAGGGAAATTCCTTCATAGGTGGCACTAAAATACATAAGGAGTAGGGTTGCAATGGTATTCTCATGGTATTATAACCGTCTCAGAAAATATCACAGTTTAAAGGTATACAGTATTATTCTTCTTATTGTTATTATCAGTTACAATGAACCTGATATGAATAAAAACAAGTGTTATTTTTGTTTTCCTGTCATTGTCTCAATTGAAGGTCATTCAACTTGTGTTTATGTATTGTTCAGCTTCTTCTTTATAAAAACTGATATGTTTAATGACTTACTAGTCTATTATATAATTATTACATCTTGTTTTGTTGTATTTTCCTGTACCCATGTCTTTTTCCCTTCTTTAAATGATGATGAATTGTGTATAGTGTTGCTTATTTCTCTGTTTCCATGTATCTTTGTGTATTTTCATTTATTTTCATCGGGTTTTACCACATTGTTAATTTGCACAGAGGTCCATTATATGCTTATGGTTATCCTGACCTTTCCTGTCATGTGTTTTACTTCTGCAATCAGGTTCTATGCTGTTTGTGTGCAGTGCAAAACACAGATTACATGATAAATTAGTCCAATTTACATAACAGTAGAAAATTATCCCCAATGTTGATGATCGAGCAATTCAAATGGTCACGCCCAAGTGGTTTTACTCGTTATTATATCATTATAAATTCAATGTTTGAGTTGCTCGGACAAAACAAGCAACTAAAGTAATTTACACTGTCATTATTTATTATAGAATAGAACATTAATCTATTAAAATACGAGTTAGTTGAAGCCCTAAAGTATTTCAATATTTTATGTTAGGAAATGTTCCCGCCTGTCACATCACAGGCCGCACAAGAGGAATGTGTTAAAGTCTCTCCAGTGAAAAGACTGCAGTCAACTCACCCTGATGTTTTAATGTCATCAGTGAAGTTCGCCCAAGCCACAAACCCTTCTCGGTATCCGTCGACGACAGACAGCTGTCCGGTTTGTTTGTCAATAACAGCGCTTCGTATTTCAGCTCCGACCGACGTAAACAACAAACACAAACCGGATAAAACTGCTAAAACATTTAAAACCATTGAGAAACCTCCAACAGCAGACGTCTTGTTTAGCCTGGACGCCATGTTTTTACAAGAACCAGTCACATGACGAAGCGGGTCACCTGACAGGGGATGGCACTTTCAAAATAAAAGCACAAATTCGGTCACCGAGTTCAGTCGCTTTCCATCGACACACACAATAAAACACACAATAAAACAC